GTGTGTTGGAAAAAAAACTAAATATAATGGGAAAACACATGAAACGTGAATATAAACTGATAAATAGGTTTGCTTTTTGACCTTATAATTAACACCAAACACTTAACCCTGTTAAAAGCGGCGGCGACCACTGGAACTCAACTTCCATACGAATCATTGTTGTTAGAATCGTCTACCCTTAGTAAATTGGTTATACAATAGTTGAACGACTAAGGGCTTGTGCTTCTGTACGGAAGGTTACGCAAACCCAACATTTGTATCCAAGTCATGTGCTGTACCTAAGGCTCTTCTTAATTAACTGAACGGTTTTATGTTGCATTGATTTCCGGGGTGGCTTGATCCTTACAGCTGAGGCAAGGTTTTTTCTATCATTGCGATGTATCGACCTTATCCCTGTAGCCCCCAGTGTAGAAACTATTCGATAGTTCGAAGCTAGAATCTTCTGCGAAAAGCTAAATGGGCTGGATAGCGAAAATTCAGTCAGTACAATATTATCTTTATCACCTAAAATGGAACCAAAACGTGGTTTCTTTTAAGCTTGAAAACTTGAAACTGCTTGCACTCTATACGAGTTGCCACATGTCATATTTTATCATTATATTTAGTCGCTTTAAACCAGGCGTATATCATTAACGCCATTATATCGACACGCGATAAGTTATATATGGAAGACCTTTTTTCCTCGTTCATTTCCCAACGGAGCTTCATAATTCGTTTGGAGCGATGGCGGAGTTAGTAGATTTTGTTACGGATAATCTGCTGTGCTATTATCGTAATCATTTACGTTCATGTAAGTTACCTTAAATTATTTATATTCTGCTGACTGCCAGTTGGTCATGGTCTGGTAATAGTTCTTTTTTCCAGCAAATTTACGAATTGGTCGGTACGTTAAATTCTTTTTCGTACGATCACAGGATGATCTCGCTCTCTTGTTTTGCTTATAAATGTCGTTTTTAACTTAAATGATTCAATCAAATAATCTGCTTAACTTCTGTTGACTTGTTCTTTTACATTACATGTTTATAGTAAGAGGGGCTTAATAAAGTCCCTGCACCTCCCCACAACTTATTATAAACCATTAAATTGTAGGCGTTTGCGGTCTACATTCTCTAGTTTTACTTAGTTCTGTGCCAACGTTAGTAACAAGAAATAAGTAATAGGAATTTAATCAACAATAGCATCTTCTTCTAAACAGCGATTTTGGGACATAGCAGATCAATACTGACCCACCCTGTTCAACGTGGAGTTTTTCGCATATGCAACACAGAGCCCTCCAGTTGCTTCGTGAACTGGGTTAGATTTTAGCGGGATCCAAAGTAAAGTATGAGACGAGAATATCTGGAACGCTCATATTAGGGCTTCATTTCTATAAAATGTCGGGTCGTTGCCTTTACACAAATGGTTAGATATGCTAGGCCAGATTATATTTCAAGCGGTATTCTCCAACATATAGAAAAGATTAATGGGAGGGACAAGCATTCAAAAAAGCGCGCCAATGCCTACCCTTCAGTTCAACATATTGAGAACTAAACTAGAGAATATACAGGACTACAGTATGTTTGCCTTCACATTCTAAGTTGCTGCCACTTGTCTTTTTTTTTTTCTCAAAATAAGTTAATTCCCCATGCGGTCCTATATTATAAGCATCAGATCAGCGTAAGGGTTCCTGCAAAACTAAGCTCATACTCTCGCACACCCTGTAATTGTAATTGCAAAAATGGAATATTCGTGGAAATTAAAGTTGACGACGTGTACAACTCGATTTTTTAATTGGAACGGCCAAAACGTTTGTCTCCATCTGGCAAAGCAAGTATTGTCGAGGACTCTATTATTCGATTTAGTCTGAATCGAAGACCGTAAAGGATCAATATTTTTTAATAACAGAACTAACGTCTATCTGAAGTTTTTAGTACCCTCCTCAATCAAATCGGTAAGCGAGATAACGCCTGCGGAGTTTTACTCAAGCCAAGACGAGGCCATTCTGTCTCCATGTATACATTGAGCGATTTTCGTTAGCTGGTGGTCACACTAGATCCATTAGTTCTTGTCTTAGTTGAAAGGTTTGCGCAGGGAAACCTGCTACATCTAGAATGGTACATTTTTTTCTTACGGCTTTCGTTGCTCGCTACATCGACGTCTCACACTTATGGTGCGACCATATTTGCTCAACTATAGTCAACCTAGAAAGCTTATGCACGTGTCCCCTGCACAGCTTTTATCTAAAACGGCAAGCGCGTCAGCACTTGTTTAGTGCAATGAGGTAATAATTCGTATCACGTATCGTTAAGCAGTTCCGCACCGCCGTTTACAGGTCCTTCTATAAGATTTCGTTGTTGTTACACATCTATATAAACACACACTTCATATGATTCTAGCTCGTACACCATACTAATATATATTGGTCGTTTAGTTCGACTGGCAAAGTTAGTATTTTAAAAATTACCCCGCCAACCTTTTCTAGAAGCGGGTGCACCAAGCACCACCTTCGATCTTATTCTGAGAATTTCAATTTTTTTTCAGCGAATTCCACTCTAATCTAGGTCATGGCTTCAATGAAAAAAAAATGGTGCAACTGGTATTATCAATACATGATACACAACGCCCGTCCTTCGCTAGACGATTGTGCCCAGTTATCGCTTTTACCTTTTATATTACCTAATCGTCTACATTATGACGAGGTGAGTATTTCGCTATTTTATTTGACCTGTATGACTAAAACTGTCTTCACTTGGTTATTTAACTGTTTTAATATTGAAGATTGCCTTCTCAGCCCTCGGGCACTCTCGTTGTTGGTGATATTTCGCTTTTGCTCTGTATGGCACCGATGGAGGGTGACCGTTTGCCAGCAGTCCTCTACACATCGGAACGGGAACAATTCCCTACGATAGCAGAAGGCTAAAACCCGCATCGCTTCAACGGGTACAACTATACCTAATGCTCAACCTGGATTGGCATGGAGGTCGACAATTCGACCGATTCGGCAATCGTAATGACTGTTTTTCATAACTAGTAGACTTGACGTTGTTGAAAGGAAGGGACCAGCACAAGCAGGTACAATGATTTAGTTTGCAGGACAGAGGACATGCGGGCATATATAAACAGCAGAGATGAGTTTGACTTTCACTAGGTGGGAATATTGCGTCTAAGGCGAACGTGTTTAAGAGCTTACTGGATATGTCGTAAGTTTCGCTACGTAGGACTAATTGTAACAGCAAATTTTCATTCAACCTAATAAACAGTATTTCAGCTTATATATATATATATATATATATATATATTATGGATTCTATTTTAGAAGGACATGGCCCGTTTTGTGAGTTCGCCACAAAAGGCTTCTTGGTCACGGCTTTTGATTCGATTCTTAGCGCGTATTATCTGTGCCGGCTACATTTTTATGCTTCAGACACCCTTCGTCCTGTTGACCGACGCAGCTTTGATAAATTAGCGCACTCAACTAATTACCATAGCATTTTGCATGCTTTGCTTTCGCCAGGATTTGAACCTTTATTTTATCGAACAGTTCATCGGGCAAACATGTTGTTCACTGCGTTATGGCGGGGCAACGCGTGAGCAGGTTAAATACGTTGTCCCGTAGTATACCTCTTGTAAATAACATTTGTCTTCTGCAAGAGAAAGTTTTCAATTCACCACAACTAACTGTTTGACTAAAGACATGATATATATTCACCCGACCCTCTTTTACATGCTTTCCTATGGGTAGTATTCCATAAGGTCGGCTATAGCAAATTAAACTTATCCATTATTCGCTCTCATCTCAAGGGAGAGAACTGCATTTTATCGGAAACCACCCATAACCTTTAATCATTGGGATTACCATGCTATTTTCTTATTTTTTCCGTGCCAATAACTGGGCCGATAGTAAATATCGTTCGATTGCAAATGCAACAAGATTGCCACGGGGTCGCCACTAAAAGAATAGAGCGGTGACATGACATTTGGGAATCTGGGACATGGCGTGCGGGAGGCAACATGGCGCCTGCGTTGTTCTTTCCTCAACGGCCGTATTCCCTTTGGCCGACTCTGCTACCCCTCAGTCTCTACTTCCATCGCCGTTGAGGGTCTCCACCTCCGCTAAGGCGACCGCTATACGATGGCCACCACTGGGCTACAAGAACAGCGATGTTACGGGCTCCGTCTCTGGGATCCGTCTCGCACCTCTACACGGAGGATACAATCCGCCCCGATCTCGCCTGGTAGCGCTGTCGTGCTTTGCTCTAAAGCAGCAACAACATATAGTGTCCTGCTTTCAGGATTCAGCGTCCACTCCCTCCTCCGTAGCGGGGCATCCGCCGGACCATAGCAACTGCCACTGATGCGCTGCTGTAATGATAGTAGAAGGAGCACACTATATCTACGAGTCTATCATGGGCAAAAAGTAACTAAAAGCATTGATACATCTGAAAAAACAACGGCAGACGGTGGAAGCCTGAGGCTGGGGCCGGAGAGGCGGTAGTACACATTCACAAGCTCATATGCGCATATCCTAATAGTGGCGCAACACCCAGTAAAATATGAAGGATATGCAGCAATTACGGTCACGGGGTAAGTAAAACCCCTTGACATTACTTAGCTGCCTCAGCTAAACGATAATAGCGTCGCGGTTTGTTGGTGTGCACATGATTTTGCATCTTTTGTGTCACGCACAGAATACTAAAAAACGTCAGGTGCAAGTATCAATTACATAAGACGACATCAACGAAGCGAATAAGTATTCTGATTATTGATTCACTGGTTGAAAAAGGTAGCTGCGTGCTTCAGGAAGAGTTGAAATAATGACTATCTTATCACGCGCACACGCGACTGTTATTAACAGAATGCCATGACCGGGTAAGACGACGGCCGCCTCGTATTCGCATATTGTATTGCTTATAGCGTTTTGTTTTTGTCTCTTTGCAGTGGTCGTAATATTATCCCATCGTACACCTACCATTGCAGTCAAGCGATGGCGGGAGTATCTCCTTTGTCTTATTGGTTCTTACCGACTTCAGCTGGCCTGGCCTAATTACGAGGACGGGGTTCTTTTGCTTCTTCGTTGCGACGGGTGTAGCTGCCAGTTTCGTCTTCATTCATTCATCCGGTCAGCAGTGTTGCTGGATTTTCGTACTCGCCTAAAAGTGCAGCGACTGCAGGCGTCGACTCGTGCCTTGGCCTCAACCTCGACCGCCTGACAGCTTCGGAAGCAGCGCTCGGCGGGCTCCTGCTCCCCGCAATCTCGTGACGGCATCGCCTATGCTCCTCGATCAGCTTGGCGCCACCTGCGTTCCGCCTACGCAGTGTCGTCCCGTCGGAGCACCGTCGCCTCTCGGTCGACAACGCCGACGATTACCGCTGCCGACTACGCGAATGCGGGGATGGCGCGGCGTCACAGAATTGTCAAGCTGGTGAAGACGGAGAATTAGAGGATGAGCTCGATCGGCAGAAAGACGACGAGAACAACAAAAACAACAACAGCAACAACAACAACAACAGGAAAAACCCGTGGAAATAGCACTGGTTGCAGTAGTCTCTATCGTAGCGGTAACACTAACAGTAGCCGCAGTAATTTTGTTAATTAGCGTCAGCACTGAAAAAGAACAAAGTGCGCTTGATGCTGCGGAGGAAGCGGAGGAAGAAATCGATGAACTTGACGACGATGGCGACCACCACGAAGAACAACGACGACACGACACGACGCTCACGAAATCATCAATATTAGTATTATAGCGATTATTATTATTTTTACTCTTGCTATCACTCGAATGCACGCAGCAGTGAGGGACGACAGGGGGCAATAACATGGGCGGCCAACCAACGCAGGCGAGGATCGTAACGAGAGAGCAAGACAATCCCAAAATCCAAAACGGTGATTCTTCGTCTTTCGGCGACGACGACGGCTTTGGCCGCTGCAATTGTGGTCCGGCTCCCGCTTCTGACGCTATAACTTCTGTGACGACGAATTTGAGTACTGAGACGCCGTAATCAATGCTGATTTCCAGCAAGCAGGCAGCCAACCGCCGCGCAACCTTGTTGCCTACACCAAGAAGCCTGCTGCTGCTGCAGGAACCCTGTCGTCGGTCCTTCCGTCCGTTGCTCGGACCCGCTGCTGCTGTGGATCGAGCGACTAGCCACCGAACGGCAGAGGCGAACAGCAGCCCTCGAGCTTTCGGTCAACAGCAGCAGCGCCAGCAGGCGATAGGAACGCAGAGCATCGTGGCGCGAAAGGGCGGAGATTCACTAGTGGAAGGCAAAGATCTTCCTGCTTGTCGGTTACCTGATTCCATCCACTCCTTTCTTCCTGCCGCTGCTGGTACTCGTGCTCTTTCTGAGCAGCAAGGCTTTTATTCAAACCTAAGCCAAGGCTTTTAATAGGTCTCTTCCCTCACCCAAAATGCTTTCGGAGCGCCATCTCCGCTCTTGCCGTTGCCTCCACCGCCTCATCGTTAGCTGTCCCTAACGCCAATGCCCAATGCCCAGCATATACTGTTTCCCCACAAACAGCCCTCCTCCTCCTTCGTGTTACCTCACCTGAAAGAAAATGGCATCGAATTGCCAGGCACCCGCAGGACAACCAAGGCCGAACCCAACGAGCCAACGAACATAACCAGAAGAAACGAGAGGGCCTTTCGCGTCGTCTGCTTTCGTCTCGTAGATCCCTCGTTTTGCCTTCGCACACGAGCGCCCTCTTCTTAAGACCTGTCCCTTTCTCAAGGGGTAGTGCAGCAAAAGCAGAAGTCTGTAAATGCAGACTTTAAACTTCTTTCATTGAAAATGCTTCAAATAAAGAACGACAGATAGAAATTAAGACGGAAACAATCAAGACACAGGCAAGTTCAGATATGAGCACGCTCACGCCTTTACAACGACAGCTTTGCACGAGCCGTAAGTATCCGTATGGCGCCCCATGAGTCTTACAGGAAACGTTCAGCCTCTTCCATCTCGCTACAGCTACGAGCAAGTTTATGACGGCAACGACGTTTGTACCGCGCTCTACTCGACTCTCGTGGGGAACAGAGCGGAGCCTGATGTGGCTGGTTTCGTGCAACCGGCTCAAAAAGCAACGAATGGAAAAAAGTAAAGATATGAATGAAAATGAAAGTACAGCAAGCGGACAAACAAGACAAGATTATTCATATAGGAAATAGGAAAATGCGGAGAACGGCAACAGCCACATCAGAAAAACGGTAAAGGCAAAGGGAAAAGTCCAAGGGCAAGAAAAAGCAAGAAGACCAAACAGCAAACGACAAAGAGGGAACAAAGACGGTAAATAACGGTCGGCTCAGCACCTCTTAACGATCACAGCATTAACGAGGATTGACTTGACTGAGCGTTATCCGAATGGAAACCTGTAGTAGTAACTCTACATTCAGTCGTAGAGGTAGACTTCACCCAGCGGGGAATTTCGGGCCGCTGTAATACCGTCGACTGCACAGTATATCGTCAATTTAAGAGGTTAATAGGAAAGAACATAACCGTGAGGTTGGTGAACTGATGATACCTCATCGCGCAGTAGATAATAGCATCCTATTTAGAGCAAACCATGATGAAAGTGCGCATTGAAAAACCATAGGGTTGCCAATTGGAGTATGTAATTTCCCCGAAACAATTTCTAGTAGTATAGTGACCGCTACGACGAATAGAGGTACTTTATTTATTATATAAAAATATGGTGAGGTGCTTCGATGACATCTTCGCCCTAAAGAAGACTATTAGAAACCGGAATGATTCGGGCCTTTATCCTACCTACCACGTAAATATAAGATAATGAAAACAGGTATTTTGCAGAATTCCCTTACGTCATAATAAATTTCAAAAGGCCACTGTTTGCGATTAAGACTACAAAAATAATTTACATGTTATCTTTATAGCACGATATCATTACGAAACTATTGTAATATCTGCACTAAATTTTTATCTTCGTTTTTTTCGAACGCTTCTGTGAATAGAAAAAAACAAGACTCACTACCTGATATTTTAGATTTGTATTCATTGGTAGTTATTGTAGTAACGTAAAGGGCCGTTGATGTGGAGGGGCGTGCTCTAGAATGCATCAGTTGTTCTTGGTCTGTGTCCGCTATTTCCACCGGATGCTCCCGTCGTTTGCGTTTTCAAGTCCACGCGCAGTTACACGTGACGCTTTAAAACTCAGAATGCCGAAAACGGATACGGGCCAGAAAAGTTGCTTGTTCTTGGAATTAGATAACAGTTTAAGCCAGGCAAGATTCTCATTCTCACAAGGCCGAAAATGTTCCAACCAACAGTCATAGCTTCGCAAATGGCTTAAAGGCACCGTGACGCTTGTCCCATTTGGATAATTCTCAGAGTCTACATATGACCTTAGATTGGCAATTGAGTGCGCTCAAGATTGGCGTTTAATTTGCATAATTTAAATTGAAACAAAACGGGCACACAATATGTAGACTCTGAATTTAGAAATTAATTACTCTGAATAAGCTTTATCTATATACATCTATGTATTCTTAAACTACGACTTTTGGTAATTTAGTAAAGCGGCGACACAAATTGAAATGAGATATCTGTTACATCACATATGGAGTCATCCAGCCATCAGTTGAATACATAGCGACCAGACTGGGTAGCGTCATCTTAATTTTTTTTCTAACCTAGCTACGCCTATTGAAATCCGGTTGTAGTAGTCGATATATTGAGTCTCTCTTACCACGTTTCGGTAAAATCCAATTAGTCTTGAGCCGTAAGCACTACTTCGAGGACAAGACGGTACCCGGCAGTAGAACGTGGGCAAAGAACAACACAGCGGCACGGTGTTCGTGACGACTTTAATTACAGAAGCCAGTACGTTTGTCAAAAGCAGCTGGAGATCGAAAAGGCGATATAAGGACATTCAGCGTATTTGGCATGAAGTCTGTCCTGCCTTCGATCCTTGAATCAACATTTATTAAGACGCTTCCGAAATATGCTCTCTATTGTTATGCACAAAGCGGAGGTGGCCGATTAAAATAAATTCTCCGCTGTCGGCCGGAATATCAAACAGAGGTGTAAGGGTGGTGTTGACGTTAGACTGTAATTAAAACTAATCGCAAGCAAGAATCTATATATATATATATATATATATATATATATATATACATATACATATATATATTACACAATAATAAAACCACCGTTGAAAAAATTATATAAGGTAGATCGATAAAACAAAAACTTTTTTGCGGTTTTACCGTATTCAATGCTAGATATATATTTTTGACTTACTTTCAGTGCTAGCTGACCCTAATATAAATACACTTCAACAACAATGTTTTTGTTAGGGAGTATATCAGATTCGTATCTGTGTTTGATATATGCTTTAACATACACCACAGGTGCTACGATTAGCAAACCCTATGTTTCGAATTTTACGTCCGATCCCGTCATTGGACTTTTATTAAATGGCTGCCTCTTACCACAAAACGAAATGTGTCTGTGGCCGGGTGATCATACATGATTATCAATAATGTTATTTGGGTTAATTAACTTTTCTGGTCAGATTTTACAGATCTGGTGTTATTTTTTTCGGCTTCCTTTATCGTTTTAATCGAAATTATTAGAAAATTTACTCGTCCTGTAACCTTAGCCGTACAGCGCAACTATAAGTGCAGGACCCTTGTTATTATCGTTGTTACCTAGACTAGGTCAAAAAATCCCAACGTGTCTCTAAAAATACGTAAAAATATTAAGCTATCACGGGGATTTTTTCATAAACCCAGATTAAATCTGTATACTTTAACTTTCGTTCGTAAATCATCGTGCCATGCTGGTTTGTTCTCTCCTTGCCATCGTTCCATGCTACATATCCTATTTAAAAGATTTTTGAATTAGAGAGGCGTCGAGGGATCATCCTGCCACACATTTCACGCTTTTATGCAAAAAAGAATAATTTTTAATATTTCTGACCAGGGTTTTATGTCGCTTGCACTTACACTAAAGACCAGCAAAGTACCATTACCATAGAGGAAGAAGATTGAAAAGGAAGTTAATTGTTGATCATGGGTCGTAGTCATTATATCTTATTCAATCCAGAAATGCGATCAGAATTTTTGCTCGCACGCACCTTACTCGCATTGTACTTGAGACGCGAAAAATAACCAGCCAGTCACTCGACATCCGGCAACCATATGCTAGCCTAAGTCCACATAACTGACCTTTAGGCCAGGCCAAGTCGGTATAGGTAGCACTGTTATGGCGAGCAGGATGCAGCTGCAAACCGCTTGCAAACCCCCGTTCGAAAAATGACTAGCTACGCTAGAACAGTCGTGTGAGTAGCGGTTTCCCACGATCGTCCTGGACTTGGATAGAATTGGAACAAGGGTACCATTGAAAGTATATACGTCGCGAGTTGTTACGAGCAGAACATGAGAAAGTTTCCACGTTAGGCCCGCGTCAGAAAAGCCAGCAGGCGAGTTCTCTTCCAACTAGACTAGATCACCGAACGTAACTGTACAGGTGTGCTAGGCGAATGCAGTCAGTGTTGTCGGGCGTTTGTAAAAGTCATTTTTCCTCTAGTTGTGAGGCGGCAGACTTCAGTAGACCGTCTGGACGACGGTTATGGAGGACGACGGGAGGTAATGCAGAGGGGGAAACAGGAATGCAGGTGGCTGTAAAGGAAAATTAGTTTCTGGAAATCATCTGGTAGAGGGCAAACAAATTATCCATGGCTGTAATGTGTCAAAATGGAGAAGATGCGATTTGATTTGTTCAAGCGAAAGTCGTATATCACTATTTTCGATATGCTCGATGTTCGGCGTGCAAATGTTTGTATCTCGCTGTTATAATGAGAAGATAAAGATGACGTAAAATCATGCGACGAAAAGCAAACGTTTGTATAGTACTCGGTGCCTCAAGATAACGAACAAGGGGTTTTTAATTTAGGTCACTATTAAAACCAGTGATATTTGATAGAGCGTATGTAAGTGTGTCTTGAAGCGAAAATGTTTGTTTGGCGAAAAACGGTTACAATGGCGCATATGGAATGAATAATTCCTCTTCTTGAGAATTTCACTTGGCGTGGTATTTGGCGCTGAGTGAAATCAACCTAGATAAACAAAAAGAACATGCGCTTGTATACGTCATGTATAAAACCACGTTAAACCCGGGTGTATTTTATCGATTTTTTCTTACGTGTTTTCTGGTGAATCTCCTAATAGGCATACAGCGAGTGTTTGTAGCCAAGGGGAAATCCACAATAATGATCATGAGTCTTGCGCTGCTCAAAACTCGTACAAAACATATGTGATCTTTATGCGCATATGGGGTAGTTAATGCCAATGTTCAGCGCTAATCAACTGCAGGCATCTCTCTGTTTCGAGTTCTATGTCAAAAATTGCCGTTAGACATTTCGTCAAACGGACAAGACCACAAAACAAAGTGTGTTTATGCCTGGATTCGAACCCAGACCAAAACAAGCATGCAAAGACGTTACCTACTAGGCTATCACGAAGACAACCGCAGGAATTTAATACGTCTAAAGTTTGTGCAAGCATCCGCCCTTTTTATGATCGTGTAAGTGTACGCCAACTATAACTTCCTCCACCTCTAATGAGAATTTGCTAACTAAACATTTCCGGCTCCCGTTTCATGCCTTAAATAGAAAACCATGAGCAGTGTTAGGCGCATTGTACTCCTGCATTGCTCCAAGTCGCTGACGACGACCGAACAGTTTACTGTTCCTATAAAAAAAAAAAACAAACAAATATTCTCTTATCGTCGAGACAGGTGACGACCATCTAACCTATTGAATGCAGACATGTATGCGTGCATTATATGGGTTTGCTAAACTTAGAGACACATGGTGTTCCATGTCCTGATTTGGGCGTAGACAAACTTCGTTTTGCGCTGGGAGCTAGCGGCCTGAAATAATGTTTCACGGCTCAAGTACCGAACGCAAAACACGAAGAACATGTAGATTTGTTTATGAATACAAGTCTACGTATAACAGATAAGGGAGAAGGCTTTATTAAATTCATATATCTGATAGGAACAAGAAAATCGCGCAAACATAGCCTATAAACGACATAGCCAATATACAAATACATACATTTCTGTATATAAGCATATCTGTAGATCCTCCCTTCTTGACGCCCCTCATTTCAGGTATTCTGCTACACACACTGAGGAACTGCGTTAGGCTAGGTAGCACCAGTCAGTAACTCAGTGACACTCCCGTATTCACGAACAGTAAAGGCAGCTCAAAGTGTGCTTCCGAAATCCTCTCCGTCCCCCTTCTTTATCCCTTTATATCGCCAAATAATCATATTGTTAATGCCGTGTTTAGGTGTACACCTTGTATGGTCTCATAGTACGGTATATAGCTGGGCGTACTTACGCTTGGCCGTGACGCCCACTGATGTTTTTAAACTTTCCCCCTCTCCGGCCCCCCACACCAGTCTCCTTCATTTGATCCTTGGAAGGTTTTCGACCGTGAACCTAGCCCTGTACCGTAGCTTAGCTTGCTCTGGCCTGTACCAACCAAGCTAGGATGGATAGTTGACTGGTTCTAAAGTGACTGTGTTAATGGTCGCTGGCTGCTGGCGAAAGGTACCAGTCAGACGCGCGGAGACATCAAGCGTGACGCGAGGGACACTGAGTTCGAAGCGGTTGGGCCTTTGAGTCTCCGTCTAAGTGACCGACGCTCAGTCGTACGCTTTTCTGCTATAGCCCCTCGAACGCTGTTTCAGCTGTTGGCTGCCGACTATGTCAGTAATTACGACGAGCTCACGTTTAGCTTGATCACAGGCAGGAAGCGATCTGCAGCGAAGTGTTGGCATGTTTGGAGATCTGCGGGCTGGCAACCTCGATTTTGACCTTGAAACGAGGAGGCGCACATTAGAGTGATTTACATGGAGTGGACATATTGATCGTGAGAATGAGTGTATGTAGGCACCAGTTCTTATAGACACTGCACCTAACTATGTACGTTCCTCTGG